ATATATTTTATATATATTAAAACACTTCCAGGAACGGATGTAGACATAGGCAAACATAAGACAGGCATGTAGCCGGGAGCCTGTGAATAGGTGGACCCAGAGCTGCCAGAGACCCAGTTACAGAGGGGCACGCCGGTTCCGATTGCTCTGTAGCTCGATGGGCTTGCACCGCCAGGGCTGGGGGCTAGGGGCTGGCCCCCATTCCGTGTGTGTGCGTGTGGAGTTTGCGTGTCTCTCGTGTTGTGTGGGCTTCCTCCCACAGTCCAGAAACCCCACGCCGAATGAGTCTGGAAGATGGATGATGGTTTGGACGCCGCACTCTTAACCCTCCAAGTGAATGTCAGAGCTATCTGTTTAGAATCACCAATCTCAGCCTGGCAGGGGGGGGGGGTTGCACAAACCCATGTAAGAGAAACTGCTTCTTCCATTTCTATACTGTCGTTATTATCGTGATAATAACGGACAAATGCACAATTTGACCATCAATTCAGTAACTTGAAAAGGAATACGGTCTGGAAACTGGATCATTTAATTCTTTTTTTTTTTGTGGCAGAAAAAACCCATGGTCAAAATTTTTTATCGTATGACAAAGATTGTTTCTCTGTTTAGCATTTGTGCTGACATTCATGTGAGGAATCCTCCAGGAATCCCTGACGAGGCCGCCCACTGTCAACCCTGACTGCTACCACAACCATTTTATCCGCCATGTTTGTTTTTTATTACCTTGCAAAGTTGTCAGGTGCAGGTGGGCATGCATCAGCACCACGAACAACATCAGCTGTCAGCATCCTTCCAGCACGCAGAGCGGGGCCTCAGTTACCACGAGCGGGTCGGCCGTTCGGCACAGAGACGTGCTGTTTGCCGGAGCCGGGACATGTCAGTCCGCTGTCAGGATCTGTCCCGGCAGTCTCGGGGAGGCTGAGATAGCTTGCAGCGGCTCCGCGGGCCCAGGACCGAGAAAATGAGGGAACGTAGGCCACCTCCTAATGGATCACATTAACAAATGTAATAAATGCAGTCCACTCATTACACCCCATTTCTATTCTTATCCCCATTAATTACCAAGCGGGTCCTGCTTCATCTCCGTATAGCAGCTCCTTGCAGCCGTATCTGGGACACTGCAGTTGGGCTCACCGTCCAAGAAAGTCAGAGAAGTTGTAAAATGTGTAAAAGATAATATATATCTATAAAATAATACATACATTATATATTTGCACACTTTGTTTCATATGGACCTACATATTTTTATAGGTCAAATGTAAAAGTTACAGAGAATTTGATCCCAGGCATTTCCACCACAGCTCATGATGTTCTTGAGGAGGTTATTAAACTGGACCGGAGCGCAGTTCTGCTGATGATTGATCAGCACTGCCTTCAGCCCCTTCCAGTCTGCGTCTGCTTCACCCATCCATTTTCCTTAACCACGGCCCGCTTCCAACAGACACTCTTGGTGAGCCTGGAGCCTATTCCAGGATGCACTGAAAGATGCCAGCCAATCACAGGCTGCGGATGCGCGCACACACACACACACGCACGCACGCAGACACAAATTTTGGAAAGAGAGCCGTGTTTGCATACATTCCTGATTTTACTTTTCTGAATTTATATAATATGAAAAACTGCCATTTTATGTATTTATATTGCTGTTATATGCACCTGAATTCACATTAACATGCATAAGGGCTAGTGTAAGCCCCCCTTGTAAATTTCTGTATAAAAATTCTTTTTTAGTGTTTTAATTGTAGACTTCATGATGAATGTGACAAAAAGAGTAAACAACAAAGAAAAGCGAGAGTACCAGTCTTCTCTGACCATTAACTGCACGACCGTATCAAATTACAGCTTTTGCTGCTTTGTAAAAGGCTGGTCACGTGGAAGCAGGCTGACATTTCTCTTAAATTAGCTTCCTCCGTGCTCTTCGAAAATATTGATCTGAGAGCCAGAATTTCCTTCCGATTCAAGTTGTGGTTTTATTCAGACATCGAAGAGCAGCCACATGTTTTCGCAACACGGGTGTTCCACTAAGCAAAAGATCTAAAAGGGATTTTGAAAGAGACCACCCTCCACCCCCCAGATAAGTTTCTTAGTGATTATGATCACACAATTAAAAGAATGAATATAACAGCAATGCAAACAAAAAATTATATCAAGAAAAGCACATTGTTTCCTTTAAGAGCAGATCTGAAGAGCTGCTGTTTTATAGCATGAATATATCAAAGGGGTTTGTGAAGGGGTGTCAGACAACTATTCCAAATCTGGCCCTAGCAGTTAAGAAAAGAACGAATGAGAAGACCCAGAGCATACAGAAATACCCCGAAACCCTTCTGTCAGGCATATCTGCTGATGCTCATACATTCCCTATGCACAAAGTTTCTCTACAGATATTCCTAAGAGGAATGTTTTGAAATTGTGGTGAGTCAACAGAAACATTTCCTTTCAGGTGATTAAAATACAGCTGGTATATTCACACACACATATATGACAGTGTGCCTATACCCAGACAGGGAGCTTAATGCAAAGGCTCCTACCCTGTGTATATCTATAGAAATAAAGCTGGTATATTCACACACACACACACACATATATGACAGTGTGCCTATACCCAGACAGGGAGCTTAATGCAAAGGCTCCTACCCTGTATATCTATATAGAAATAAAGCTGGTATATTCACACACACATATATGACAGTGTGCCTATACCCAGACAGGGAGCTTAATGCAAAGGCTCCTACCCTGTGTATATCTATAGAAATAAAGCTGGTATATTCACACACACACACACACATATATGACAGTGTGCCTATACCCAGACAGGGAGCTTAATGCAAAGGCTCCTACCCTGTATATCTATATATAGCCTTAACAGCACTAAGAACCTAACTGTGGGTCAGTTCTATATCTGATAAACCTGCAGTCATGAAAAAACAGTGCAGAATACAAGGGGTGAGGACAGACAAATGGGACAGAGACACAAACTCAGAGGAACATTTGATTAAAAAACGCATTCCTAGGTGTTCACGCCTGCGAGGAGCCAGTCAGTCTCTCAGTGATGCTCAGCAAACCAGTGGCACAGATCAGCACAGATTTTTTATTTGAAGGCTAATCTTACAAGTAATTTAACAAAGACAGCATGGCTACTTTCAGCACGCAGCACGCACAAGCATGCACGCACGCGTGCAAAGACACATACAGTAAAAATAAATTCTGCTGTTTGGCTGGTGCCTGGGGTCTAACATCTGAGCAAAGGAGGGTCATACTGGGTTCACTACCTCTGCCCAAGTAAGGATGACCACCACATAATATTTAGATTTGATAGATTTTTCCATAGCCCTTAAAGTCATAATTATCTGTTAAACAAACAAACAAACAAAAAAAATGTTTTGCTTAGTGTTATTCTGTGTGGGTCACTGATATAAGGACTTCAGTGTTCGGCTTGGTGATCGAACTCATTTCCATAATTACACACGATACTAAATATCATCAGAGTTCAGCAGGAGGACAATTATGTAGAGGGGGGGAGTCAGCTTCGTGAGGGAGGGGGGGTGATGAGCCGGCGAGGCACAGAGCAATGATTCCTAAACAAAAATATATATATATCATCTAACCAAGCTACCGCAAATAGTTAATATCAAACTACTGTGCTATGACGGTGTGTCTTGGTATTTCAACACGTCTTTATGAAAATGTCAGGCTCATCTGCGGGCCTGTGCAGACTGGGGATCAGTGGTGTGGATATAAAGACAGAAGACAAAGCATGTCAAGATCTTAAAAGTAACAATACAAAAAGTTACTGCAGCTGGAATAGGCAGGTAGAGGGGCGCCCTGACCTGACTGCGGTCTAAGCATGCCGACGACTGATCCCCTCTGCAGGACAGCAGGGCGACACCTTGCAGTCACACCCCATAGAAAAATACCCTGGTGATTTGCATAAGAGTGTCACCGACTGGCAGCCAAATGCACGGGGGAAGCAGGGGACGCTGAACCTGAACAGTGTCCCCATGTTTACTGCTAGAGTGTGTTTAATGCATGCTCCCCAAATATGCCCATAAAGAAATAAATGCTTCTCTGTGAACCTGTACTGTGCATGTGTGCATATCTGTGTGTGTATGGTTGTGTATATGTGGTGCGTCATTTAAAACTGAATACAGTACAAATATCTAAACAGGCTGGGAAAATGTATACATGTTGTCTTATAGTCAAATTAATAGTGGACAATCTTCTCTATTGAAAAAGGACAGTAGTACACCTCACTGATCCTAGAACAGCAACTCCTGAGTTAGTCAGGTAGCTCTACAAAATGTTCGTTTAGCAAAGGTCCCAGTTTAGCTGCCGCTGCTGTTGCCACGGTGATGACTTGACGCAGGGCTTCTTCGGCACGCAGCGGGGCCGTCCGTGAGGATCCGGGGCTCCGTATCGCAGAGGGGCTGAAGGCGCCCTCCAGCCCAGGGCACGTCCCTGATGGAGGACAGCGCCCCCTCTGCTGACCGACGGCACGGCATTCCCTCGCCGGGTCGCGTGCGTGTGTGGGAACTGACGCAGAATTTAAAGCGGGGAAATAAAAATGGAAACCAAAAGATGAAGAGCAACCTGGGGTGTATAAGAAGGAAGATTAATGGCATGCCTGTGTGGTCTGCGGGGGGCTGGAGTAAGCGAGAGCGACGCTGAGGATGAATGCCTTGGGATGGGGGGCGTGTGCAGGAGTCTCAGAGCACCTACATCTCAGTGTGTCCAAAGGGACACCTGCGTATGTGTGTGTGTGTGTGTGTGTGTGTGTTTATGCTAACGTCCGCACTTTACCTTACTGTGTGTGTGTATACCCGCATACACACTGCAGTACATCTACAGGCATGCTCAGTTGGTAAGTGCATCCATTTGGTGTGTATGCATGTGTGTGTGTCTGCGTGTATTTGCTTGTACCTGTGTGTGGGTCTTTGTATCAGTGTGTATCTGTGTCTATGTGGGTGTGTGTTTGTATGCATCTGTGTCTCTGTGTGTGTTTGTGTGTAACTGTGCATATTTGTATCCGTGTACGTGTGTGTATCTGTGTATATCTGTATCTGTCTATCTGATGTGTGTGTACTGTGTATGTGATGTGTGTCTGATGTGTATGTGATGTGTGTGTGGGCAGCAGCGGCAGTGGCTATGACGCAGTGGAGCTGCTCGGGTTCCAGCCCATCTGGTAGGCCCTCTCCAACGTGCGCTTGCAGTCCTGCATCACCGTGCTGAAGACGATGTGTGGATACTGTTGGACCAAACGCTCCACCGTCTCTTCGTTCACCTGCCGAGACAAAGGGCAACGACACGGGGCCAATTAGTCTCAGCAGCGGCCAAGTTAAACCCAAGATGGTCGCACGATGTCAAGTGGCCCTCGTCGTCTGCGGCCCGGGAGACGTGACAGCGCTGCGGGGGGAGAGGGGACGGGAGCCTGCGATGTTCTCATGGATAATTAGCCCATCGGAGGGGGACGTGATTGAAATTCCTTCTGTCGATACTTTCACACAACAATCAGCCTTCAGGATGAACGGCGCTCAGCAGAGGGAGGCAGGATAATCTAAACTGATTCACGGCTGAGCACAACAAACGTGAAATTAACTGCATTTTTCAAAAATCCTCCCTAAATCCCACAAACGGCCTTTAGAAGTAAATCCAATACATGAAGGTATGAAGCGGCCAACCAAGCATTTTCCCTGGGGTGGTATTTAAGGTGTAGTAGAACGTTGAACACCATGTCCCACTCCTTCTCCCGTTGCGGAATCAGTGAGAAACACAAACAGTGATGGACAACCAAGCCTGTCCAACAGGAGGCCTGCTGACAGCTTCCCTCGTCTCCATCAGCAACAGGAAGCTGCCTATCCCGGTGGATCCCCTCCTGTCTGACTTCTGTAAGGACACTCTCCTTCCCCCAGCCCGTTCCCTGAAGCTGCACCCTCACCTTCACTCTGCGCCTATAGCCACCTGAGTCCCCTATCCGCCCTGGGAGCCCCACAACTCTGCTAAACGCCACAAGACGCTGCACAAGGCGAGACCCAAACGTTACCATATTAGCAGAACGATAACTCTGTGAGAAAACAAGTATAATTAAGGCCACCATTAAAGGTATTTACAGTATTTTCCCACAGGAAAAAAAGCCATGTGGCTGACTTAAATATGAATAAATACGAGAGTAAATCCAACTAGCAGCATTTCGCATTAATAACTGGCTATTATATTCCGCTTACTGCTGACAGTGGCCTGAAAACAGATATTAGGCCTAAATTTAAAAAACGATTTTCAAATTAACATCAAGTTTAAAGAAAGATGTCGTTCTGCTGAGAGACCATTACTTTGATCATTAGCTATTCGAGCAGCGAGTAAACACATCCAATAAAAACAGGCCTTAATCAAAGCTCTAAATCACTCACTAATTGCATGTTGAAGGAACAATAAATGATTTGACAGGGAGTTCATAAAACACGGCTTGATGTATTTGGTTTAAATCTGTTATTGGCTTCCAAAAAGCAAAATGAGTTTTAAAAAAATAAAATAGATCTCATCAGCTTATGGAAAATTTGTCTGGATCCAGCCTGAAGACTACATTTTTTGTTTTGTTTTGTTTTTTTAAAACACTTGATATGTGCCCACTCTGTATCCCACAAGGAAATTCCCCTCTGTTCACATTTCAAATTGTCCAAGTGTTCACAAAAGCTGAATACATTTACATAGATTTACTTAGAAAACACTTCTGTCCGAAGAGAGAAAAGGCTGGGGGTCACAGTGCAGGGTCAGCCAGCATACGGCACCTCTGCGGTTGAGGTTAATGGCCTGGCTCAAGGGCCCAGTGGTGACACGATTACACTGCTGGTCGTGGGATTCGAACCCATGACCTTCCGGACATGGGTACAGACCCCCTCACCCCCTGAGCGACACTCTGCCTGAATAAATAATGACTATTAGGGGTGTTGAATCGCAGATTCCCCCCCACCAAAATAATGTAGCATTTCCTTGTGTTTGAATTTTTTCTGTACAGATCAGTAGTTGACCTTTTGACACTTTTACACTGGCAAGTTCTCCCTGTTTAATAATAATAACAATGAATGTTCTAAAATTTGACTGTTTTTGTATTCCGTTAGCAGTGTTCAATTAAGTATTTATGGTAATATTTGTGATTTTTTTTTTCCTGTGAATTCAAAAAAAGGGTTTAATTTAGGTTATCAAAATAATCAAATTATGATGGGAATTTCCAATGCATTGAATCATACACTCAATAAATGTAATCGGACTGAATTGCTGTGGCACCAAAAAATTTACACCCCTAATGACTATTACTATTCTTATTACTTACCTAACATTTTTAAATGATTATACATGGAGGTTCTAGATTAGAAATCCTAGACATACAATAGCAGAGTGCATGCTGGGAATCTGGCTCCATACCTGCATGTATGACCACACCGAGCCTGTGCTTCAACCCAACACCCTACATGGAAAACATGAGAAACCAAACACTCGTTCAGCACTACCATAGACAGGGGTGGCAGCATGGCACAGGGCGGACAAGTGTGACAGGCCGCAAAAACAGAAACAGCAAAGATTTTATATATATATATCCCAGCCACATGAATCCTCTCCTGATATCTTGCAGGATTTCAGTGCCATCTACACCCTTTCCATCTTGAAGAAATGTACTTTTCTGATCACAACGTCTCCTTAATACCACCTGACAACTAAACCCTGTGCTTAGCAAAGGTGTGGGGGCTGGCAGTGAGGGGGTCATATCGAGATAAAGATGGGGTGCCGGTCTTAATGCCAAGATGGCAGCCGGATCTGGTCCTGGAGCGTGCAAATCCGCAGGAACATGATGACTGACTGTTCCGAGCGTGGATTCAGACTAGCGCCCCAATGACGTAACAACGTAACGCACAGAACACGACACGGGATGAAAAAAAGACAAACATGGTGCACAGCGTGCGCCTGTGTACTAACGCTGCAGAAAGAAATGGGATAAAGAATCCACAGGGAACTAGAGAAATAAATAAATAAAAATGTGATCTGACACATTACAGCGGAGACGTTAGTGCAAGACGGCGCACGAGAGGAGCTTCATCTGGCTGGCAGTTCAGAAGTTCACAACACGGCCCTCAACGGATCTGCCCTCCAACAGAGCCGTCTGCCTGCCAAGGGGGTTAGAGAAACACGGCACGCTCTGCGAAGTCAAGCGTCAAGCCAGCGTTTGTGGGAAAGCCTAAACTAAACAGACAGCCCCAGAGCATAATGAAGAACACTGCGCCTGCTTATCGCGCAGGGCCCGTCGTCAGGAACACGCAAGGAACATGAACCCCGCGATCTTTCTAAGACCGAGCAGACCTCGAGGCTTCCTTCCCAGTATCCCTCTCCAGCCTGGAGAGGATCGGAATGCTGGGACAAAGTACACGTCGGATTAGGCATCAAAGAACCTGGGGTTAGACAATGGAAATTTATGACCCCCTGCAAACAGCCTAAAAAGCGTCTTTAAAGGTTCCACACTGATAACCGCGAGTATTTCCTCCCGCATGATAAGCAGCCCCCAGCACCAGCCCCCAGCACACACTTCAGGCACAGATACATGGTTCTAGAGCGGCGATGCTGAGCATGGCCCCACTGCGGGTGGATTTATTGTGCCGGTTCCCTAAGCAGGACTCGACACTGCCAATGCGGGGCCCGTCTGGTGAGTCTGCGCTACATCACCACGTCGGCAAAGTCAAACCGAGATTTGCTGGACGGCTCTCATTCGTCACCCGTCCTGTCAAAGCCGGCCCTGACAGGTGGGGGGAGGGAGGATTGGGGCCCGGGGAGTCGGAGCAAGGAGACAAATGTTCCCCTCACCAGCGGTACGAGAAAAGGCACCTGAAAGGACACTTTTCACAGCTCACACGTCACCTGACAGGTGATGTAATCATGCAGCAGAAGCTGCCTTTGATAGAGAGGACCTGGCCGCTGTGAAGAGGGCAACTTTAATTAATAAAACCAAAAAAAAAAGTGAAAAATTTGACTTAAGTTTGATAAAGTCAGGAAGGGGAAAAAAAAAAAAATCAAATTGAAGTGTGATAGATTATCAGCGAGGTGGGGGTCGACGGGGAGGGCTGGGCCGTGCTACTGAGCAGAGCAGTACAGTCCCTCCTAATCGCGTTCTGGGAAGGAGGCTCAGGCTAGTGCACAGGAGCCGCTGCCCTCGGCCACCCGGACAAGAACAGACTGCGGCCACATGACCCAGCCGGATCGCAAACGTCCAATCAGACGGAGGGAGCCCACTGCAGCCTCATTTACTGTCACTGTTTACCGCTGTCTGAAAACCACGCACGACAGCGATGACATCAGCCCAGGCAACACCTCCCAGCGGCAGGCTGGGTCTTTAATCTATAGCACTACCCCGCTTTTACGTTCCTCTACTTGTATTCCGCATAATTAGCCAAATCAGAAAAGGGCAATAATTAAAGGCGGTTTTGCTGTGAACTGCTCGCTCACTAAAAAGCCAGAAGATCACTAATCCCAACAGCAGGAAAAGTGCAATTTGCGTCTGGAGGAGAAACACCATTCCCTCTCCTCTCTCACTCTCTTTAAACTTCCCGGCATCAAAGCTTAATATCCAGGGTGCCCCCGTTCCCCAGGGGGCCGAACAATTTAAATAAGGATAAAGCCGCCGTCCGCTGAAAGTGGAAATCCAGAATAAGCGGTTCTTCGTCGGGGTGGATTCCTGTTCTCCCTGGGGATGATGGGTGCTGGGAAACACCCCCCCACCAGACTGGGTTTAACTTCATTAGGGACGGGGAATGAGTGGTATGACGGGCCTCGACTGCGGCCTGCACGGAAGGCAAAACTGACGTGTTTCCTAATCTGCGCAAATCGTTCAGCCTGCAGGTCAAATTTGCACTGCGAGTCAGTTTCTTGATGTGTGACGTAATCAACAGCATCCCTTCTGGGATATGAAAGTATAAAAAGATGGACAATCCCTCGTTACCTCACATTAAAGGAGCAGAGCCAGGGCTCAGCCATGTTTCCTCAAGGTGCCGAAGCCGCTGTGCGGAGCTCTTCCTCGGGGGGATGCAGTGGACACCCCCCCCAGCCGGGGCGTTAGCGGGTAACACGCATGACCTCGGAGGGCACCATGCAGTCTGAACACACGGGAATCAGAGTCCTGCACTGCCATGCTTCTCTTAGTGCTGTGGGATGGGGGGCCAGGGTGTCAGAACAACTTTTAAAATCTTAAAATCCTGCTGGGGGAGTGATCAAGAAGCAATTACGGCACTTTTAAAAACGCGGATC